ACATTCTGCAAGCCAGCTGTACGTTTCTTCCGTGTGTTTTTCTTGCCTGTTTGAATGCAATCTTGCAGAAAAATTGGATTGCAGCCGGTAGGCTGTCTTGGCTTTCACCTATGGGGATTGTTTCGTAGAAGCGGGTTATATCGGCAGAGAAGACGGAGAATATTCGTTGCAGGCGGTTGTATGTGTAGTCCGGTGTAGAATCAATTGGCCACCAGAATGGGACTTTAAAACCTGTTTCAGCAAGTGTTTGTTCTGTAAGAATACCACAGTGGGTTTTCACCATTCGTATCAGGGCTCCGAGCACTGAAGCAGTTAGATCTACGAGTGGTGTTGAGATGACGTCCGCGGCGTTAGTTAGCCAGCGGAAGGAGTTCTTGTGTTTTTTATATGTAGCAAATAGATATGGCATTTCCATTTTACCTGTAGGGATGTCTGGGAATCTAGTTGTTAATTGTTGCTACATGGTTTCGAGTAGTTCAACAGCGGAGATTTCAAAATCTGGGCTGCCGAGTCTTTGTAATGCTAGGAATCTTATGAGGTTAATGCAGGTAATTACCGGGGTGTTAGGTGGTTTGTCAGCCCCAGATATGTAGAGGTTCTTCGTCAAGAAATTGATCTCATGTTTGACGGCGTGATCGTTAAGGCTAATCACCCTGTGTTTGGTGATGTTTTCGAGATTTTCTTTCATTATCTTGTTGAAGTCTGCTTTTGCTTGTTCTTTTTGTGAACTGTTTAGCGGTGCACCATTTCTCATAAGGGAAAGGGTGAGTTGTGTCCATACCTGTTCCACAACAACCATAACGTCATCTGTATTTAATGGAGCTAGCGAAATATGGTTAAGTCCATTTTTAAGCATGTTCCGCAAGTCAGCGTTTTGGGATATATTAAGGTCTAGAGTAGTGACGTGAGGTTGTTCACCTTCGGGTAGTGCGCCTGCTGGGAGTTCATTGGTAAATTTACTGTACCTGTGCTGTTGGCAAAAACATCTTTCCGGGATCTGCTCAATCCAGGAGGGTAAACTGAAATCTCGGAAGACTGCAGCAGGCTTGTATAAGGTTTTAGCTATGTGGTCGTTATACGTCCATGAGAATGTGAAGTTTTCTAAGATGTGTATAGTTTGCGGGTTGTGCTTTTGCATTATGTGTTTGAGGATGTTCTTAAATTTGATTCGGTCCATTAGTCGGTTGGCATAGTGGCAGGAGATGATATGTTTGTCTGATTCTTTTCTTGATCTCCACCCGAGTCTTCCATCCTCCATTGTCTGGAGTCGTTGCACCTGCACATATGACATGCAATTTGGCAGTTAGAGCTTAGGATTTATTATTAGTGGTCCGGATTTGCATATTTATGTAGTCAAGCATGAATTTGGGTGGATGGGGGTGTTTAAGGGGTTCTAGGAAGGTATCCAGTGCCGCTGGTGTGCGAGGTAGTGGCTAGGTGTTGCGGTATGAAAACGTAGCAGCATAGTTGGCATTAGGGTGTTCTTTTGTATGAATTCAGTTATGTAGTGATTTACCTGTGTTGTATGTATTTAGTTTTTAGCAGGGGCGGGAAAAAAAAGGAATCAGGGTTAGCGTAGGGTGTTCTTTTCGTATGGGGCATGTTGTTAGGGATCTGGGTGCTGGTTTGTAGGCCAAGGTGGGATAGGTGTTGGGGGTTCAAGTTGTATGGGTTTAAGTGCAGTCGTTTATTTTAGCACTTCACGACGTTCACGTGAGTGACAATTATCCTTTACTCGGGATCATGTGTGCCAAGCTTTAGTTTTTTTAATAAGATAAAGGAAAACGTGATCCGTAGATCTTAGTTGTTTTATTTCGGTTGTATGTTAAGTGTCATTATCCGGCGAGGGAATTCTTTTGAGGTTATGTGGTGTCTGTTTATTATAGCATCATCTAGGCATGCCTGGTTTCTGCATGTGTTGCTGCATGTGCCGCAGGGAGTTGCGCAGTTAGTATTAACCGTGCGAACTTATGTTTTAGTGGTGAACAACAGGGTGTGTGTGTGTGTGCAATTGCAGGTTCTGTAACACATGAATTATCAGTAAAGATAATAATAATAAAAAGTAAAAATGAGAATGTTTATTTTTGAAAAAATTGAGGCCGGGGACCCCTCACAAATCTACCCGGAGTTATCCTGGCAGCATCAGCCGGTTTAGCTTATCATTTATTGCAAAGTTAAAAAACAACGCGGTTTCCAGAAAAATTATAAAAAAGGTTCTACACAACTTTCTAGTCTATTGCGTGTTTAGAACTCGTAGTAGTCTAGCCGAGGGAAAATTCTGGCAGCTGTAGCTAGTATAGCGTAGCGTCCATCTAAGATTGGTTAGGGACTGCTAATAACCAATTATCCTATATCGTGAGCCTGCTAAACCATGGCATACAGCTGCTTATGCACTCGTGCTACATGGAACCGTCTACAAGTCTTTTAACCAGTTGTCCAAGTAGTATGGCAGCTACTATCCTAGCTTCTTGTGATGTTGGTAGCATTGCCGTGGTAGTCTGGGCTAAGCCTTCTGCAAACCCGTTTCCATGATTCAACAGAGGATGGTGACTCTGTTCCGAGTGCTTTGTTGTCACTGTTTGTTTGGAGCAGGGAGGAGTGATCACTGCTAGCTCCGTAGTTGCACCTGAGGGCATCCATTACTGAGACCGGTTGCATCGGGGTGTCGGGCGAAGGAGAGCTGATCGTGATGGGCAGCAACCTACGTTCTCCGTCATTGACGTCCCCGCTGCTTACAGGGATAACCTCTTGATCTTCATGGATATCTTGGCCGGTGGCGTGGTTGCTTGTGCTTGCTCTGTTGCCATGGATTCCGACATCTTGTTCGGTGGCAGAGATTCCTGTGCCAGCTCCGTTGCGTTCCCATTGTCTGAGTATCAGATCTGCGTTATGTGCCCAGTTGTGTCCGGTGACCTGTTGTAGTGGTAGATAGGTCTCTGTCTGCTCGCTTGTTGTGCATGAGCGTTCTTGTGACAGTGCAGGCAGCTGTGCTGCTGTTGTCGCCTGCCGTTGTTGTTGGGCCATAAGGACATCATGCAAGTCTTGTTGTCGGTCATCATACAACACCGTTTTTCTTCTTGTCTGTCTCCTGGTCTGCGACCCTTCAAGGATCGGTGTGAGTCTTTGCGTTTTCCTACCCCTTCTTGCTCGTGCTCTGGAATACGCAGGTAGCGGATTCATAGCGATGCTTAATAGCAGCTCTCGCCTTCGTGCCTGCCTTTCAGCTTCAGTACGTTCCTGTCTTGCTGTTCCAATTTGGATTGGTGTGCTGTCGTTCGTGGGGTTGGGGCTGATGTGTGCAGTGTGCAATGTGGGGGGGTTGTTTCTGAGCGTGGGGTTGTTGATGCTTAGAGGGTTGTTCTGATGTGTAGCAAGTTGTGCAGCGGTGACAGCGAATGCGTTGACAGTGTTTTGGGCGGTTTCAAAACCGTATCTTGCTATATTGGTGGTAGTGTTCAGGCGGCGGTCTTGCGTGGTTGCGGTGTTAAGGTTCAGGCTATGTGTATGCTAGTGTGACGGTTTTGTGCGGTGGGGGCGTAGGTGTCAGCAGTAGTGTTGGTGTTCACGGTCGAAGTGACTGTTGTTGTGGGCGGTTGCACGACTCTACTTGGGATGTGCTGTTGCCTACCGTGCGTAGCAGTGATACAACCAAAGGCGGCAGCAGCAGTGGGTGTGTGCGAGGCATGGGCTGGTATGTTACCAGCTGCAGTGGGTGTGTGCGAAGCAATGGGTGCGTGCGAAGCAGTGGGTGTGTGCGTAGTAGTGGTGCACGCGTGCAAACTGCGTGTCGTGCGTGCGTTGAAGTCCGTTGGGGTGTTGGGGTTTGTTGTGGATGTGGTTGTGGCATTGTTCAGCTGGGCTGTCGCTATAGGGGTGTACTGTTGTGCACTGAGCGCAGGGGTTGTGCATGCGATGTGAACAGCAGTGTTGGGTGTGTGCGAGGTTCGGGTTGGTTCGTTGCTCATTGCCTGTGCAGTTGTGGGGGTAGCATTGCTGGGGTGCGTGCGTGCTGTCAATGCGTGTTTGATGTAGTGGCGTGGTATTTGCGGTTGGGTTGGGGTGGTGAGGGTTAGTGTTGCTGCAGGGGAGCTGCCAAGTCGCATCTGCTGACATCTTCTGAGTGAGTTATCTTCGGCATCATGTTGTCCCCGTCCGCTTGCTGACTCTGGCAGGATCCCTTCAGCGTTCGGTAGGAGCGCAGCAGTGAATTTGCGTACGAACGAGACATTCTTGAAGTCTTCGTACTCGATGATTTCTTCTGCTGAGATGGTTTTGTTCTCGGTGAGGAGATGGACAATCTTCATCATGTACTCTCGCATGAAGGTGAAAGTGATCTGTGCCAAGATCGGTTTCCTCCAAGTTGTATGAAGGAGTGCTTGAAATTCCAGCATCCTGATCTTGTCCGAAGGTGCGTGCGGGTCGATCTTGTCCAGGTTGCCAATGACGTACCATATCATGTGGTCGAACCATGTGAAGTTCTGTTGGCATCCTAGGCACGCGCACTTCAGATATGGCCTGCCTGCGTTCCAAAGCTTCTTGAGTTCGGCCAAGTCAGCTGGGAATCTCGGGATTCCTTTCTGGTGTAGGAGCGGTCTTTTTGGACAATTCCCTTTCTCCAGATGGGTGATTGGGGGGAATCCTGCGTCAAGGCCACCTCTTGCTGCAGGGAAGTAGATAGTGCCATTCCTTGCAGCGGTTCGACAGTAGTCAACGTCTGCGTCGGTAAGCCCAACAAGCGCCATGTATGCCTCCACGCTTATCGGCGCTGTGTAGTTGAAGGTGTCGAGTTTCCACAAGCGGTTGTGGACTCGCTGTATTGCTTTTTCTATCCAAATGCTGGATGCTAGTGGTAGGAAGGAGCTGGTCTTGGCGTACTTGTGTCCGACATCTCTAGCGAGGGGGGTAAGCTCCGTGTGCACATTGCTTCTCCGTTCTGCTTCTTTCTTCTTCAGATATTCTAATTCGACCTGAGATAGCGACATGCGGTCGATGTATGTGCTGCTGAACGTCTCATTTCTTTCCGAAATAGAGAGGTGTCCAGCAGAGTCTAGGTGTGATGCATCATAGCCATGCAGTTCGAGGATGACCCTTTCAGTCTTGGCAATGATGAGATTCAGCTCCCTATTCTCGATAGCTGCTTTTCTGCAGACCTCGACGATGTTCCTTGCGAACTGCTGGATCTTGCCCTCCAGTTCCTGCGGCTTGTTTTGCATGATGGATACGAGGGAGGCCCAATCGCTGAAAGAGAGATTCTCAATCAGGAACGGTACCTGTCCAAGTGTAGCTTCGTAGACCTGCAGGAGAACGTCTGCAGGAATGGCGAGCATGGCTATTTGGCAGTGTACGCTTGGCGGCTGCAGTGCTGCGAAGGGTCTGATTGCGGCAGCGAGTTCCGGGTGCCAGCCCATGAGGATGCTGTCTTCATCCTGCACATGTTCCGTTACGAGGATGTCGCTGTAAGCTAGATATGGTTCATAAGCTTCATGGATCATGTTAGGTCGGAGATAAAAAATTAATCTTAAATGAAACCATAGGACATACAGTTTTCTCATGATGCGGTGCTTATCAGATGAGCTGAGGTTCGGGTATTGTTCGGTTGTAGCTGGTTTTGGTTCTGCATTATTGCGTAACGTATCCAAGAAATGGGGTAGAATGTTACTTGCTCGTTATCAGTTGCACTGGTAGCGGGGGTTTGTTTGCGAGTGTTGTTTTTCTATAGCATGGGGGGTGTTCGGCTACTGTAGTCTGGGATAATAGAGGCAGTCTGTCTTAGGAGGGTTATGTTTTAAGATGGGGATGTGTGTGCGGGGTTCATTTTTTCTTACTATATTTAGTGTTTTGTTTAATTTTAAATCCTATTTGTTTCCGATCATTATCCAATTTATATTTTTTATATTTGTTTTATATTTATATTTATGTTAATTTTATTTTTTATTATAATATTATATTATTATTATTATAATTTTAATTATTATTTTTTAATTTTATAATTATATAAAAAGAATTGTTGGTGTGTTGGCGTATGAGAGTCACGTCATAAGCATCCCGTGACTAAGGTACTCAACCAAGGGTTGCCCATAAGGATTTCATTTTTGCATGTAGATTATTCGATATTATTGAGCCACTTTTTTTATAAAAAACATTTCGCAATATTTTTAATTACAGCTTACTCTTCTCTGAATAATTGACAGGCAGGTATTTTTATGCAATTATGTGCGTGGGTATTAATATATCCAAGGAGTGCGTGGATGTGTGTCTGGGTATAATTATATCTAGGCTGGGCAGGCAGGCTTCCTTGTGCATGTTAGTTGCAGTTTAAGGGTGGAATAAGGTCGGCAGGAGGGTGGTTATGGATTAGTAGGGGTTTGCTACCGGTAGGGCGGTAGATATCGATTTATTTAAGAGCTTATATTCCGTTGCCTTCGCAACATGTCACGGTCAACCTGTGAGAGATGGTTAATATATATTTATATTTGTTCAAACTATTTATATGCATAAATATAGAGAGAAACGGAAGGCACGGTTTTTACTTCGTTGTTATCCGAGGGGGCGGTTACCGTTTGGTCTTCCTTCTGAATGCATGGTCTGTACCGTCTGTAGGTGATCCATGTTAGCGGTTCGTTTCAGGCATTGTGTCGGCGGCGATTGTTGTATACTGTTGGGTAGTAATAATTTGCGATGTCATTCTGTTTTTTTGAAAAATCTAGGGGGGGGGGTTTAATTAATTATTATTGTGTTAGAGCATATGTATTTCAGGTGGGTTGTTCCGATATAAAGGGCGTGTGTGGAGTAATCAGTTGCATAGTTGCTGCTCTTGGCATTGAGTAGGCGATTTTACCAAGAGTGCGTTCTTTGGTAGTCGTGGTTAGGGGCTAGTGCTTGTTCAAGGGGTTATGTTGTTGTGACAGTGACAGGGGGTGGTTGTTGGTGGATGTGGGTTGGTGTCAAAAGGAGTGTTTGGAGGATAGTGGAGCGAATGGTTGTGAGTTTACACACGGGAACCTTATCATATTAGGTGGATTTTGAGCGAGCTGTTCCATCTGTGGTGGACATGGTAAATAGGGTGATCTCTTATGTCGTTACCAAGTGGCCGTAGGTGCGTTGTTGTGCGTGTGCGAACTACCGCAAAGCTTGAAAGCGTGCGAGCAGGAGTGGTTGCTGGTCTATGCAAGTTTATCTTTACTCGGATCATCAGGTGAAGGGAGGAGATAAGGTTAGCAGAGCGGCTGCGTATCTTTTGGGGTTTTGAGGGTGCGATCGGCGATGGAGTATGTGATGGTTTTTCATGGTCTGGTGCAGCGGGAGACGGTGGTAGTGGTGGAGCTTTATCATCTGCGTGATGCGCAGTTCGGTGTGGGGGGAGTGGGGGGTTGGGGGTTAGTGTCGGAAGGTCGGAATAGCACGCGGACATATGATGCGAGCGTGAATGGCCGTATCTCATTGCGTGTACGAGCAAGGTTCGGTTATCTACAGAGGTCGTTGATCACTCTCGGTTTTGAGTTGGAGAGGTTCGGGGAGGGGGTGTCCTTTGAGGCGGATATTGGAGGTGATAGTCACGGTGATTGCTATGGAGCATCGCTCCCAAATCGTCGAATGTTCGGTATGGCAGGCGTTCGTGGGTGCTCCATTTGCTTCTCGTGAAATTAGTGGACTTATACAGGCATCTTCATGGGTGGAGTAAGGGACGTGGTCATGCGTTGTGGTGGTAACGTGGCAAGGGAGCGTTATGGCAAGAGGGGTTTATATCCGTGATTTCTTCATTTAGAGTTTTTTGGATTCATTCTTAAAGGCATCGGAGCAAATTCCGCATGCAGTTCCTCGGCAGAGGTGGTGGATTATTAGCGAGTGGACTGCTTCGGGAGCGTGCAAGGAAGCGGATCGACTATGTCGAGTGGGAGGCTATTTTGGAGGTCTTATTGCTCGGTCGTAGTTAGATGGCCGGTGCTTGGAGTTTGAGTGGTGGAGATCTTATGTGCATTTGGGACTGGGTTGTCGTGCGGAGGTTGCGCGCATATATTACATGACCAAACGAGGTAGCGATCCGTTGAATCTATTTTTATAGATAGCATTTTTCGGAATGTTTTCTTAGAACAGATCTCGTTCTATTGGCATGCGTCTGCATCGGGGTATATAACGGGGGTAGCCTGAGTGCGAATACTATCGGTAGCTGATGGGGGGTAGGTTATAAAAAGCAGTAGTGTGTTTGTTTCTTTGTTTGTTCTTAAGTGTTTGTGCGACAACAGTGTGCAATGCGTAGGTCGCGCCCATAGCTAATGCGCGTATGATCGCGCGCAGTTTACTGGTGGCGTAGTAGGGAGCTTATGTGATATTACTACAGGATCTTATCTAGCAGCGGGGAGGACGTTGGCTAAGCGATAAGCACCCAGATTAGCCAGGGGCACATGCAAGTGAGGGGGTTGGAAGGAGAGTAGGCTTGGCGCGAGTTTGGATGTCGGCTCATCATATTTCCTCGGTGTGTCGGTTCCTGTGATTGGTTTGGGCAAGGACGTAGAGCAGGAGGGCGATGAGCTAGATCTGGCTAGGTGGATTTTGCTGCTTTGCCCGTGTTCATATGCGGTGAGCGTCATGGATGTCATCACTACGTGCGTGGGTGAGGTGCATGGAAAACCGGTTGAGGTGCAGGAGCTGCGCCATCGTTGCGGTGATGGCGGTGGTAGGGATTTTCGGTATAGCAGGAGGGTGAATAGTGATGTTTTTCGTCATTATCGTGTTACGGCGGATGGACGTTTGGTTATGAAGTTGTGCATGGGGTTAGGTTATATGGAAGGCTTGCTTTGTGAGGTGACTGTGTTTGTGACCAAGTCGTTGGATGATATTCCGGACACGGTTCCAGACGGGGGGGTTGACGTGGTGGCGAATATGGTGGGTCTATTGACAAGTGATCTGTTGCAGGAGCATGCCGATAATCAAATCGATTTCGTTGAGTGGGAGGCGGTTTTGGAGGCGCCATTGGTTGGGCGTCGGTATATGACTGCTGTCTTGAGTACCGACGATGGATATGATTGATGAGGTGTATGCATGCGGGGTCGTTTTTCGGTCAGTGGGGAGTTGAGTGTGTGCTTGGTGAGGTCTAAGTGCGGTGGCGGCGTGCCTCAGTTGGAAATCTGCATGTGCATCTATTGAGTAAGGTATTAGTAACTGTGGGGATGAAAAAAATGTGTGCAGGGTGTTTTCCAAGAGATCTGTGGGGGGAGGGTTTAGGTCTTATGGATACGTGTTATAGCATCTTGCATTGGGAGCGGGTTCATGGAGCTTCCAGGGAGTGTAGTGCTGTAGTCGATGGCCCAGGCGTGGGTTGGGACCGATCATGCGATCTATGAGGATTGTATGGGTCGGTAGGTGTAGTTTTTAAGTGTCAGGGTGGGTTCGGAGTTTGGGAGGGCAACTTGGTTGGCTACCATATCCGGTGTAGGGTTTACTTTTCTCAAGTACTCTAATGCGTGCGGATTAGGGAATGTGCCAGTGTTGGTTTGGTGAGCGGAGGAGGCAGGGTTTTTTTTTTGGGCTATTTTTGGACGGGTCGTTCATGATTCGTGTGAGTTTTTTCTTTTCTCACAGTCGATATGTTTATCTGAGCAGTGTTATCGCAGTCTTTGTTATGTGTATTGTGTACGTACGATGGGGGTAGTGCTACATACTTTTACATTCGTCCGGTACTCATATATACATTAGAGGTTCTGGGGGAGCTGTGTTTACGTGCAGGATCATCATATAAGGGAGGTTCCAGAACAGAAGTGATGCTATGTATGCGCTATTGTTTCGTGCGGTTGAGATCAATTCATATCGCGGACGTGACCGTGCGTTGAAATACCGATAAGAATAACGGGATTTTTATTTGTGAAGCTATGTTCCATTGACCCTTGCTGAGGAAGTGGCTTGTATTTCAGCGTCTTTCGCTATGTCATGGATTCGATTGATGTATTGCTATCATTAAATCAGCCATGTATTTTATGTTTATGTGAGAGGAGCTATCATAGTCTTCTTATGTATAACATGTGTACATTAAACAAATATAAATTAAAATATGTGGTGTTCATGCACGTGTTTAGATGTCGCTAGCGTGTTATTACTTGATGTAACATGTGTCTACGTGGAGTTGGAGGTAGTAAAAGTGCTTATTGGAAGTTTATGTCAGCGAAAAGAATATCGAGAACTACGCGACAAGGGCTCAGCATTCTATGGCTTAGCATCTTTCATTAAGTTTTGGGCGAAGGACCTTATAGGGTTAACAAAATATCGAGAGGATTTTCGATAGAGGAAGGGTGACAAGAACTATTTGACAAGACATTGTTAACCATGCTTAACGTGGATCAGTTTTTAAAGGAGATTGCCAGACGAATGAAGATATCGACTGTCGGCAAATCAGTCGACACACGCGCATGCTTCAGAATTCCAAGCAGGACGCATGAGAACAGAATCATATATATGTCTATGTCATTTGTTTTGCAAATACAGGATCGAAAAACGTAGACACGTCAAAATAATGCGAGAAGGTAAGAAAAAGAGGCGGGGAAAGAGCAAAGGAAGTAGAAATTTTTATTACCAGAAGCATTGAACATAGCCTATTGTGGCAAGCCCATGATTATCTTCAGGCTAACATCAAGGAAACAATGAGGTGGACTGTTTTGAAGACAGTGCCTTAGTCATATGAGATTAGTCAGTTTTTAGACCAACTTTCTTATATGAGCGTTACTGGGGATAGGCGTCCAAACCCAAAGTCATAGTGCCAATGGATTCATGCTGATCAATTTGCCCTCTTTATATTGCGTAAATCAATGGTCCACGCAGTATTGATGGTTTGTACCTCATGCGTAATAGTACCTTTGATATTTCAATTTTGATTGATGTTTTGATATTTTTAGTGTTCATACGTACGTAGGTTGCTGTAAAAAGCAAAAAGAATTTCTATCATTTAGCATATGGATGGTATGCAGAGGGCTGGGTGATAATCGTGCTTAAGGCGTACGAGACCAGAAGACTAGGTTCTTCTGATGACGTTCGTGTTTTGACACTAATGGAGGGAGTTCGAAAACAGTTAGTTTATCAGTGGTAGAAATAAAGTGTCAACATAAAAGCACCAGAAAACATCATAAGGACTGTCGTTTTGGCAAAGGTGAGTAATACCGCCGTTTATTTCCCAAAGTGATATAAGTTGAAGACATACCGACGGGAACAAGTCTCTTTGGACTGTCTATTATGTAAACATTATGTTGTTGCGTATCATCATCGATTACAGTAGTGTTGTCGATGCACGTGGGATCTGAAGATTCCCGAAGCTATTGGCATGGCACCGTATTATGTTACGAAGGATTCATAATATCGTATTTAAGTAGTATTGCGCAAGATCTATAGAGCCACAATGGCATGGACACGTAAGCGTATATTGCTTATCGAAAACCAATGATCAAATAGAGCCCTGCTGAAGTTTGTATGACGGTAGTATTGCGCAAGATCCATAGAGCCATGATGGAATTGGAATGACAGTAATAATGCGCAAGATCCATAGAGCTACGATGGCATAGGTATGGGATCGTATTGTGCTAACGATCACGTATGATGAATTACCTGAGAAGGTTTTTGCCAAATAGGCTCTTCAGACGTCTTTGTGGTACGCCTTCCGAGAGAGAGAGCATTTTTCAGTATGTCCCATGCAGGAGAATCTTTATTGTCAATAATTGATATCGAGAGAATTTTTCGGCAGCAAAAGGGTGACGGGAACTTTATGCGACGAACGTTAAGCATTTTAGAGCTTAGCATTCTTCACTATTTCTAGGGTTTACAAAAATTGGATATCGAAGGAGTTTTGGACACCAAAGGGATGACAATGCCTATGTGGCGAGAGTTTAGCATTTTAGAGTTGACTATCTTTTACTCTTTTTGAGGGGTATCATAATTGCACGGAGCAAAACGTATTTTTGGTAGCATAAGAATTTTTGTCAGTAAGAAAGATTTAATGAAGACTCGGGAAATTCAGACAAAAGTTTTACGGACGCATGCGGGTTCCATAATCCTTCGATAGTATGGGATCGTTCCGTCCTATCGGCCAATTTTCAGAGGGGGCTTGGAGATGGGTTTGTAACATTGTAAACCACCCTCATCGTGGAACAATTTCCGACAGAGACAGCGGAGCGCATGCTTGTATAGACAAGCGACAAGTCAACCGAGACACGGGCTTGTTTTAGAAAACCAGCCAGGACACATACAAGATTTGAACCTGAATCATGTATATGTCTGTTGTCATTTGTTTTGTAATAAATTTTCTTCGAAATCCAAACTACGAAAGCAGGAATAGGTTCGCAGAATGTAAACATCAAAATAATGCATCCATTGAACGTAGACTGTTGTGGCGAGACCATGATCATCCTCGAGCTGTCATCAAGGACACGAACAGGTAGTCTTCCAGGAAAATAGTGCCTTAGCCATGTATACTTAGTCCATTGCGGAATGACAAAGGAACGAGCAGAACCTAGTCATGTTAACAAAATTTAGTGTGGATATATCTCCGTACTGAAATAAGCGAGATTAGTCTTGAAATCGAGCTGCTAATGGATTCTTGATGTTTTAACCTTATTTATGTTAGTGACGTGGTTAACAGCTCGTTATCTATATGATGTCGAATTCACTGGCCCGTGCTGTATTGATGATCTTTGTCATAGGCACAACATTGCCCATGATGTGCCGCATTGTTATTAATAATGTATATCAGTATCATACTTTGATGTGAAAGGGTAGCATATGAGCCTGTGCTCGCAAGATGAGGGGACGTACAGGGATACGTGTCTAGAAAACAAGTTCTATTGATAACGTCTGTATATATACGGTAGAGAGGGAGGAGTGAGTACAATACATTATCAGAAGAAGAGCCTGAAAGAAAATCAAGGAAATAACAAGTAAGTTCTTAAAAGACGCGGAGGAGGAACATAGCCATGATAACAAGGTTTAATGTGAAAAAAGTCTGTAATGTAAGCGAGTGAATTAGTATTGAAATCATACTGCTTGATGTTGCGACCTCATTTATGACACTGTCGTGGTTGAAGTCCCGTCATCTACATCGTGTCCAATTCACCGATCCGTGCTGTGCTGATGATCTATACCATAAGCACATCACCGCTCATGACGTGACGCATTTTTAGTAATAATGTATCTCTGTATCATATGTTTATGCAAGAGAAATAGCAAAGTAGCCATTCACGCATATTGAGGGTACGTACAGGGGTACGAGACTGTAGAGTAGGTTCTACTGATGACATCCGTGTATGTACAGTAGAGTAGGAAGAGTGAGTACGGCGCAGTCATTGTTTAAACGATTGATATTGCGACAATCAGAAGGTTTTGTGTCATAATTGCCATGTCACTATCATTATCATTCACCTTAAATTAAATTGACGATGTATCTAAATGCTCACGGGATAGTCCCACAATAGCGAGTGTTTCAGTCGTGTCGATTAATCATGGAAGCCTATCAGTACTATTGTTGATATATAACAATTGTGGTTTTATAAGTTAATTACGTATCAGTCGTAGTTTTGTAACTTCATAGCGATTGTGGGTGCTAATCACGCATCAATCTTGGTTTTATAACTTCATAGAGGGGTGTAAGTATAGTGTAGGCATGTGCGGGCGTATTTCTTCGGGGTATAATGCATTGCGGTAGATATGGCTGATGGAGTGAGGGTGGTTGGGGGTGGGGGGTGGTGGGTGGGTGGGTGATGTTTGTTAAAATCGGTTGGTGGGTTTCGGGAGTTATATTGGGATGGTGTTAGGTTGGGAAACCTGTATTATGGTGATGTTAGGGTGGGCAGATGGCATAGTCTATCGAGGTGGGGATTCGACCCCATCCATAGCATCAGGATCTATGATCCGGGAGAGTGTGTGGGGGGGTTTGTGTATAAAACACAGCCATCCCGAAATACGGGACAATAGACATGGCCGGTATGCCCATCATATTAGCCCGGTACAGGGTTCATGCAACAACAGGTAGGTTTTTAGGAGCAGTTAGGATTAGTGTTAGTCGATTAGCAGGGGTTAGGAGAGGGTCAGAGGACCCAACCATAGGGGGGGTGCACGCCCTTAAGCGCGCTTTTCGCCGCCTAGCACCCATAGCAGCTCGTGAGAGAGGTAAGTTTTAGTACTGGCTCCTGTTAGGCATGTGTCGGGGYAGGGTGGGAGTTAGGCAGGACGTCAGGGGTTGTGTAGCAAAGCAGAGAAGACATGCAGGGGGGTTGTGTGTAAGGTTAGTGAGTCTTACATGCGTGGTCATACTCGGTGCCGCAGGAAGGTCAGAAGCCGCCATAGCTGAGTAGCCGAGCGGCGTCGTATCAGTTGCTCAAGTTGCAAACACAGCGCAAGGGCCACTGTAGTGCGCCCAACCGAGTCTAGGAGCCCTGGGCATCTCACGAGTTGGTGTGCTCGTGTGAGCTGGGCAGCAGGCAGGGCTCTAGGTGAGAGAAGCGAGAAGAGAGAAGCTGGAAGCCGGAGCGTGCAAGCAARCACGGTAGCGGAGTAGCATGTGAAGTAAAGTGGTTGTAGGCCGAGCTGTTCTCGAGGGCGCCGGTTGTACCATAAAGGGGAGTGAGCRTGTGTAGGCCAGGTATCTATACCGTCATATTCCATAGCTTGTGCTAAGCTCGGCGGAAGTATGTAGGTTGGAAGGGAAGGGGATGTAGGTGAAAGTTGTACTTTTGGTGGGTTTAGGGGAGTCATATGCATTGGACGGGGTGAAGGTATGTTAATTTTCAAGGGAGTGAGGGAGCATGACGGGGTATGCTGTGGGAAGCTTTTGTCTTGTATGTTAGCAATGCTTCTGTCTATGTGTTCAAGTGGGGTGGGGGATACTGTCTTTAGGTAGGGGGTAGAGGCGGGAGGATGGCTGAGGCGCCGCATTTTTTGCTTGTCTTTTTGTTTGTCTGTTTGTGTAGTGCTGCGGGTCATACTTTGTCGTGCATGGAGTAGGGATGGCTATGGGTGGGATAGAGCGTTTGTCGTGATATTTCTTACGGAGAGGGGGCTATGTTCTGTACGTTCACGTTTTACACGTAGTGCGATATTGGTCGGGAATCAGGTGTGGTATGTGGCGTCTGTTTTCCAGTGCCATGGACTCGGCGTGTTGGTTTGTCGCTTTCGA